AATACACAACGTCATGAGCCATATTTGACGTTGTCAGAAAAATGACGTCATTTAAACAACCTTTATCTTTGCAATCACAATTCATATTCACTTGTAAAAGAAAAACTTACGTTAAAATTATGCCGTCGGAACGTCACGAAATTCGATCAATAAGAAATGTGTCAATAGTAAGCCGAGAAACTGTCTTAAACATAGAAAGGGATAATGAAAAAAGGGTAGGGTTAAGGTAGCCACAACACATTAATGCAATTATTATCACACTGGCCATGTAGCTTTTGCAGAAGCGGTTGGTTCATCGCAGTGTCGATGGAGATTTCGTCGCAGAAGCGGTGGATAAAATATGGCCGTTTGCTGCTGTTGGTAAGTTTATGACTGAATTTCACTTTATATTTTAATGTTATACCGGAAACACATAGTGAGACTGGAGCCCACATATGTACGTTTCCAACTTATTACACGCACACGGTGCAATTCATTGCCATTTTTGCTAACACTTTTACATACAGTTTGACGTAAGGACGCCACGTTTGCTCATTTTAGGTTAAAACACGTACAATTGTGTGCAAAACGACCCCTAAATGCACAGGCATTACATCATATATATAATACTTGCACCAAAACAACCATAATTTGGAATGTTAGAAAATTGTTATTGCCTTTCTATAGAAGAATTGACAACAATTGATTACAGCGCAGACGACAGTGAATTCGATTTCAATGCAGTGCGGTGGTCCCGATACCATTTATGTCTATTTTGAGGGTTTAACTTGACAAAACGCATTTTTCAATTAAGAACAACCCTTTTTTAGTGTTTAAAACAATATGATTATATATTATAAGAATCTTACACTGGCTGCCGGTAAAACTGCACTCCAGTTAACGCACTATGACTGTATACGTATACGATTGAACTCTAACACATTTTCAACAGAAAGGTCCCCAAACTATGATACAACTATGAATTGGTGTTCTCAGTATGGTTATATAACACAGTGACATTCAAAACTGAGACTGTTTTTCATATCTAAGAAGCAGGTTCTGTTAATCTTTACGGGAATTTCTTTTATATATTTGTCGTTAAACTTCGAACTCAAGGTCTGAACGTAAACCGTAAACTATTCTACCAAAGGAATTACAATGGAAGGAAAATGAAAACGCAACTCGAACATCTATTTGCATAAATAATCATATTTTTAATTAAACTAAAAAAACACGTTTCTCTGATGTCAAAGTATGAAAAGTGTTGTACTCTATTGAAAAATGACTTATGTCAAGTAAACCCTCATAATAGACACTTATTGTATCGGGACAAAAGCACTGCGTTGCAATCAAATCGACCGCCGTCTGCGTTTTAAACAATTTTTGTCAATTCTTCTATAAAAAGGCAATAACAATTTTCAAAAATTCCAAAATATTTTTGTTTTGTGCATTAATCATACATACCATGTAATGTTTGCGTATTTGGGGGTCGTTTTGCACACATGTGTACGTGTTTTAACCAAAATTAGGTAAAAGTGGCGTCCCCTCGTCAAACTGTACAAAAGTGATTGCACAAATTTAATGGCAATGAATTGCACTGTGTGCGTGTAAAAAGTTGAAAAAGTACACATGTGGGCTCCAGTCTCACCAGTTGTTTCCAGTCAAACATTAAAGTATAAAGCAAAATTCAGTCATAAACTTACCGTCAAAAGCAAACGGCCATATTGTATCCAACGCTTCTGCGACGAACTTTCCACCGCGGCTTCGATGGACCCACTGCTTCTGCGAAAGCTATGGCCAGGGCGATTATGATGTTCTTCGTTTACAATTGTATAAATCATTTTTACTCTTCTTCGTAATAGTTTTATCGTGAATCTTTTTTTTTCACAATTAAACAGTCCTGTTCAAAATTGGTTAGGCGTTATTGGCGACGACGGTGAGCGGCGTCGTCTCTTATGAAATGCTTTGTATTTTGGCCTATGGAAGGAGCTGTTATTATTAGCAGTTAAATGTAATGTTGTGTTAATTACTTTTATTTTGATTCGTAAACATCAAGTAAACAAATATGTTTTATATTTGTATTTAATAACTTTATGTAAAAAGCATGTGCATTGTGATATTATTTTCACGAAATTGCAGGCTCAGTTTAATAGCTTGTCCCCTATCTTTATTGGCAATACTAAAACCCGGATTTCGAATATCGTTGTGGTCTACATCGATGCCGTATAATTTTTCATTCATTTATATATTTTCAAAATTATCCTACAAGAAGAACGTTCACCTGCAAATGAGTATTAGGATTGGTAATGGAACTGTTGTAAACGATTATCCTATGAAGGCAGTAAACAGCTTCGGTCGTTTAGTTTCGAATTGGCCAGGGTCAAATATACAAATAAGAGACAGTTTTGAAATTGAAGTGGATATTTGAGGTTCTAAATATTTATAGTTACTATATTTCAAGTTTCAATGACTAGTATTGTGTTTCAGTTATTTAGTAAAATTGAATTTAGTGGCGTTGACCCTTGCATTTGGAGAGAGTACCTGTCGGATGCGAATGTGTGGTTTTTGGAGCTGGCCGTTGAATCAGCTCTTCAATTTAAAGGGTATGCAGAAGACTTAGAATAGTGAAAAAAATATGTGGGTGACACCCCGTTTCGATGTTATTTTCAGATTGTGCATTGTACAAGAAGGAAGAAACATTATAGCTTGTGATTTAATTTTTTGACGTTAATATATTGTTGTATTTTGCAAATAGGGGTAATCCGCTCTTTTTGTCGTTGATTTTCGCGACCAAAACAATGAAAAACACAGGGCTATGTGCCAGAAAACTAGAAGGTGGACATGTATTTTAATTGTTTGCTGTGAGATACATATGTATAAGTTAAATATGAAATGCATTTATTTCAGGTGTGTGATTACAGACTTGTGTGTTAGGTTTTGATTGTGGCGCAGTCACTTGTTTGCCGAGAAGCCTTGAAAACTGTGTATTGCCCCCTATTGATTTTATCCATATGACGTTTATCTATTGCACAGAATGATTGTTTTAACAAAGTGTACCAGTATCCGGATGTTGAAAGCTATCCGATTTTCTGCAATTACTGCTGTCACATGGCCATCTAACTTTTTATGAATACTTTACCATTACTTTGCATGGCTTAATAAAACTGAGCCTGCAACATTTCATAATTTTGCTGTTTAGGGTGTTCTGTTGAGTTTCAGGTAGTCTCTATTTTAAGGGGAAGTAACTCATGTTTACTATTATTTTTTTGTTCTTTTCAGTCTATCTTAGGTATTACTTACTATTTTGTTGTATAAAATTTACCAGTTGTAAAGTCATCAAAGGCATAGAGGCCCTGAGGAGTAATATTGATTTTTTTACTGGCTTTACATACCTTAGACTGGATTTTTCTAGTTTGTTCAATTAGTACAGGTTTTCTTTTGCTACAGGAATCTTCTAATTACTATGTGAAACTATGTGAAACTAATTATTATTTTCTATGTGTTTGTATATAAATTGTTAATAAAAAACTAAAATGAAAGGTAGAAAATTAAAGCTATGCATATAGGTGCTCATGTCCATATATTGAAACAGAGAAAGGATAACATCGTGAAGTTATCAATTTTAAACACTTGATATATATGCAGTTAATTATATAGTAAAGTCTGATGGAAGGTTAAAAGGGGGACAGTATTTGTTACTGTAAGAGATATGCATACATGTGTATCTTTGTATATGGATATGATATGACTTAAAATATTTCTGTATTTAAAGAGTTACAATTGTGACATTATTATCAAAGGGATGAGACTTTCATTTAAAGTTATAAATGATAATGCATGTATTGATTCAAAATGTCCTTATAAACTTAGATCGAGCAATATAATTTATAAAGTCTCACAAAATCATATTCTGAATTGTTATTCTAATTTTTTTCTAACATGTGCATAGTTTGAAATTTGGAAAGTCTCAACCTCCAGGTCTCCAGAGGCAACTGAACAACAGACCTTTTGTAGAGTAGATTGTTACTTGCACTTGAATAAATTTGTGCACTAAATTTTAAAGTTGGTGATTTGTGCCACATGAAAACAACAAAATACAAAAAAGTGAATTGGCGCCAAATGAAAACATGAAAATACAATCTACCACAAAGTGGTTTGTTTGTTATATTTTCATGTTTTCACCCCGTGCCCCCTGATACAAAATACAAATCAGCCTTCATAAAATTTCTTATCATAGAAAAAGGTAAGTTTTTGTATCTGTTAGAAAAATTAGATATTGTACATGTATTAGTACAGTTATGTTCACTTTCAAATTGACCTGCTATAAATAATGGCACAACCAATAACTGTCTAAGCCCTTTTTTAGTAAAAATAATTATACAATATATAAATTGCTATTTTGATTTAGACTATGAATAATTAAGTTTTTTATTTCTTATTTGTTTTATTAAGAATTAAACTACCTGTTAGTTAAAAAATTTGAAAGTATCTGTCAGGGTTTAGAGCTGGTCACTATTTAGTGGAGAAAATGTGTAAGCGGCCAGATAGCTCAATCGCTACAGCCACGGTACATTATTCCGAGGGTCACAGGTTCGAGTTCTGGTCAAGTTGAAAGTTTTTCTCATCCTGTAACTGCATATAACCCTGAGTTATCTTCACTATGCTCTGTAAACATCAGAAATTCAAGGACACAAATCAAGATAGTGGGAAAATATGTTGTGGTTTAGAATTGTTCATTAGAAAATGTGTAGCCGGCCGGATAGCTCAATTGGTCTTCCGACAGTCATGGGTTCGAGTCATGGTCAGGCAGTTTCAGTCAGGGTTTAGAAGTAGTTTTTCAACTGACACATGTTTGGTTCATTTAACAGATTGTATTAAATTTGAAATGGACAAAGGCAGTATTGTATGCATGATACTTTAAGATCTACAAAAGGCATTTGATCATAATATTCTGCACATGAAGAAGTACTTCTTTTTCTTCTTCTTCTTCTTCATGAAACTTCAAGCATCTGTCATAGGTTATGACATTCTTACAAGGTTCAAGTCTTATTTCTGATGGGCAGCAGCTGGTGGATGTAGCTGGTACTCATTCTTCTACTGCTCCGAGTACCTATGGTGTCCCCCTGAGGTTCATTTTAAGTCCTCTTTTATGACTAATATATGTCAATGGCATGTCTGCAACCCTAAGCAATAAGCTTTTATTGTATGCTGATGGCTCAGGTATCCTTGTATCTGAAGAAATTCTCTCTTATGGCATGAGTCTTATAAGTGATTGGTTAATTGACTATAAATTGTCCTTGCATCTTGGCAAGACAGAGTCTATTCTTTTTGGTTTAAGTTTCAACTTAAACTGGGCCTAGCCTCCAGGTCACATGTAATGGTACTGCTATAAAGTACACATTTTTTGTCAAGTATGTAGGTGCAAAACTTGATCAATTTCTTTTGGCGTCGCCTTTGATGCTTTGCATCAATGCTTTTCTTGTATCTGTTTTTATATAATGACAATTTTGTTCTTAGTTGTATTATTCTTTTATTTTCTCGTATGTATGATACATTATCATGCAGCAACATTATATTAATATAAGACATATAATAGTTTATTACATGAGCGATTTTCCAGCAATCAAATTACAGAAGGAAAGAACGGAAGTTTGCGTCATTACAAGAGCTCATTTATAATCATTAACGGCATAAAATTTTCAGTTGTTAATTTTCTTGTTGGTATTTTTCGTTTGATATAGGGGATATTTTCCTATTTATGTTCCGTGTATTTTTATGTAAATGCATCTTACATGATATCCTCACATAGGTTCATATCGTGGTTAAATTATTAGGCCTATGAAAAACCATTATTATTACATAAACAGCGGTGCGGGAGTGTAATAAAGCCATTTGCATCATAGGTTTGGGACCTTTCTGTTGAAAATGTGTCAGACGTTATACATACACATGCACAGTGCGTTTATTGGAGTGCAGATATTAGTTACATGTACCCGCACTCCAGAACATGCACATTGATTGGTTCATTTTTGCTGGGGTTTACTTCTTGTGACGGCAGAGAAACTGAAAGCGACAGAAATATCATATTCAGATGCTCATTCATTGGTTATTTTTTTCCGGGGTTTCATATTGTGACAACAGGGAACGTGTTTTTATGTTTGACCATGATTCAAAAGAGAAAGTACATCAAAACACTCGGCAATCTGATTAATACTCGGGTGCTACGCCCCCTCGTACAAACCAGATAGCCTCGTGTTTCGATGCTCTTTCTATTTAAGAAATGATATATCCCAAACAGTGATTTTATCACTCAATCACATCACTGTTTGGCGTTCAGATGCGAGGAATTATATCACGAGGGCGTAGCCCGAGTGATATAATGATGCGCATCCGAACGACAAACAGTGATGTTATCAAGCGATAAAATCACCGATTCGGATATATTATTTCGATTGTAACACAAAATCAACAAAAAATGCTGCCGTACCTGATATTAAGCAAAATTGCGCCTGATTTGTTTCCGTACCTATTTTCAGCGCGTTGGATTTTTGGTGGTACGTCAAGTGTATAATGATTACGTCACATGTCTAAATATAGAACGTCAAACTGTGACTCTGTTGCACAATAACACACACTTTCGGTTCTTCTATGTTCAATAGGGAAAAATACGGGTCGTGTTAGAATACTTAATAATAAAAACGATATTACACTACATAGTGTAATAACACTTTGACGCGACGTTATTTGCATTAAAAATAGCGTTAATGAGCGCAAATGTTAGCGCGTCAATAGAGGCTGGTATAATATTGTTCTATTCAACGAGTTCAATAAATTTAGTATTAAACCTACACTCATTCAATATCCTCTATTTATACGATTGCATGTCCTGAAGACTTTAAAATCAATTTCCATTTTTACATATACATATACATTTTTAAGGAGGATTAAGCATGTGCAGTATCTACAAGTGACATTCACAAGGACGCTGATCATTTCCACCACACTATAGTCTGTATAATCAGGATGATAACGCTTTATCAGACCTTCGTGCTTACTTTATAGGCGGGGCTTATAGTATGCTAAGTGTTCTATCCCATGATTCAAATTATCGAATAAATATTTTTCAGCAGATCTATACAATAAATATTTTAATTATACAATATATATTTTCAAATATAGAACATACATATAGAAAATTATCGCACACAAATATTGTTATGATGAACAAACATTCAGCAGGATTGAATAAATATATATTATGGTATAGAATATAAATTAGAGTTATACATGTACAATATAAATATTGGATATAGAACAAAAATTTAATTTATTGAATATTGCAATGTTTAACATGTCATAATCATTATTGACGTTTTTTTTTTTTTTTTCTCGAATGTTTTTGTATGCTGACTTCAAATAGCTTTGACGTTACGATAATTTTGATTGATTATTTTAGACGTCACGTGACGTTCTCGTTGTTTTCCTGATACGCTTTTGTTTGCTGACTTCAAGAAGCTCCAGACGTTAGGATGAATTTGATTCGTTATTCTAGATGCCACGTGACGTTTGTATTGACAACGCGGCGTAGTAATTGCGTCTCAGCAACACGTTTGACATTGAATTTCATAGTTAAACAGCAAAGAATTTTCAAGCGATATGTGTTAAAATATGGATGAATCAAAGAATATAAATGATGAAAAACACACCACGCCAGTCTCCCAGGTGACCGACAATGGAAATAATGAAACTGGAAAGAAAAAGCGAAAAAGAAAATATTCGCAGAAACAATGGGAATGATGGATGAACTATCGGGAAAAGAAAAGCCTAGATAAAGAATTGAATGCAAGAAACAGGCAGGAAGTTGCCATGGATTGGTAGCACTCACCAACATATCACATTGCCAGTTGTTTCTATTTTAAATGCAGATGCACAGTAATTCGTACCAAGGTCATTTACTTTGACCTACCCTCAACAGAATTTCCAAACCATCGACAATGCTCAAATCCAAGAGAATGAAGAGAAAACCCAGGCAAACTCCGTTAAAGCAAAGAATGAAAAAGAAACGCAAGCTAACTCCGTTGAAAAAGAAAATGATGAAGAAACCAAGGCTAACTCCATTGAAACAAGGAATGACGAAGAAACCCGGGTTAACTCCGTTATGATAAAGAATGGTGAAGAAACCCAGGCAAAATACGTTGAAACAAAGAATGAAGAAGGAACGCAGGCTAACTCCGTTAAAACAAAGATTGACGAAGAAACCCAGACTAAGTCCGTTGAAACAGAGAATGAAGAAAAAACCCAAGCAAACTCTATTAAAACAAAAAATGAGGAAGAAACCGAGGCAAACTCCGTTGAAACAAAGAATGACGAAGAAACCCAGGCAAACACCGTTCAAACAAAGAATGACAAAGAAACCCAGGCTAACTCCGTTGAAACAGATAATGACGAAGAAACCCAGGCTAACTCCGTTGAACAAAGAATGACGAAGAAACCCAGGCAAACACCGTTGAAATTAAGCATGTGCAGTATCTACAAGTGACATTCACAAGGACGCTGATCATTTCCACCACACTATAGTCTGTATAATCAGGATGATAACGCTTTATCAGACCTTCGTGCTTACTTTATAGGCGGGGCTTATAGTATGCTAAGTGTTCTATCCCATGATTCAAATTATCGAATAAATATTTTTCAGTAGATCTATACAATAAATATTTTAATTATACAATATATATTTTCAAATATAGAACATAAATATAGAAAATTATCGCACACAAATATTTGTTATGATGAACAAACATTCAGCAGGATTGAATAAATATATATTATGATATAGAATATAAATTAGAGTTATACAATATAAATATTGGATATAGAACAAAAATCTAATTTATCAAATATTGCAACGTTTAACATGCCATAATCATTATTGACATTTTGTTGTTTTTCTCGAATGTTTTTGTATGCTGACTTCAAATAGCTTTGACGTTACGATACTTTTGATTCGTTATTTTAGACGTCACGTGACGTTCTCGTTGTTTTCTTGATACACTTTTGTTTGCTGACTTCAAGAAGCTCAGGACGTTACGATGAATTTGATTCGTTATTCTAGATGCCACGTGACGTTTGTATTGACAACGCGGCGTAGTAATTGCGTCTCAGCAACACGTTTGACATTGAATTTCATAGTTAAACAGCAAAGAATTTTCAAGCGATATGTGTTAAAATATGGATGAATCAAAGAATATAAATGATGAAAAACACACCACGCCAGTCTCCCAGGTGACCGACAATGGAAATAATGAAACTGGAAAGAAAAAGCGAAAAAGAAAATATTCGCAGAAACAATGGGAATGATGGATGAACTATCGGGAAAAGAAAAGCCTAGATAAAGAATTGAATGCAAGAAACAGGCAGGAAGTTGCCATGGATTGGTAGCACTCACCAACATATCACATTGCCAGTTGTTTCTATTTTAAATGCAGATGCACAGTAATTCGTACCAAGGTCATTTACTTTGACCTACCCTCAACAGAATTTCCAAACCATCGACAATGCTCAAATCCAAGAGAATGAAGAGAAAACCCAGGCAAACTCCGTTAAAGCAAAGAATGAAAAAGAAACGCAAGCTAACTCCGTTGAAAAAGAAAATGATGAAGAAACCAAGGCTAACTCCATTGAAACAAGGAATGACGAAGAAACCCGGGTTAACTCCGTTATGATAAAGAATGGTGAAGAAACCCAGGCAAAATACGTTGAAACAAAGAATGAAGAAGGAACGCAGGCTAACTCCGTTAAAACAAAGATTGACGAAGAAACCCAGACTAAGTCCGTTGAAACAGAGAATGAAGAAAAAACCCAAGCAAACTCTATTAAAACAAAAAATGAGGAAGAAACCGAGGCAAACTCCGTTGAAACAAAGAATGACGAAGAAACCCAGGCAAACACCGTTCAAACAAAGAATGACAAAGAAACCCAGGCTAACTCCGTTGAAACAGATAATGACGAAGAAACCCAGGCTAACTCCGTTGAACAAAGAATGACGAAGAAACCCAGGCAAACACCGTTGAAACAAAAAATGACGAAGAAACCAAGGCTAACTCAAATGAAACAAAGAATGACGAAGAAATCCAGGCAAACTCTATTAAAATAAGGTATGACGAAGAAACCCAGGCTAACTCCGTTGAAACAGAGAATGAAGAGGATTCTAAGGCAAACTCCGTTGAAATAGAGAATGACGAAGAAACCCCAAAGAATGACAAAGAAACCCAGGCAAACTCCGTTGAAACAGATAATGACGAAGAAACCCAGGCTAACTCCGTTCAAACAAAGAATGACGAGGAAACCCAGGCTAACTCCGTTGAAACAGAGAATGACGAAGATACCAAGGCAAACTCCATTGAAACAAAGAATGACGAAGAAACCCAGGCAAAGTCCGTTGAAACAAAGAATAACGAAGAAACTAAGGCAAACTCCGTTGAAACAAAGAATGACGAAGAAACCCAGGCTAACTCCGTTGAAACAAAGAATGACGAAAAACCCAGGCTAACTCCATTGAAACAAAGAATGACGAAGAAACCCAGGCAAACTCCGTTGAAACAAAGAATGACGAAGAAACCCAGGCAAACTCCATTGAAACAGATAATGACGAAGAAACCCAGGCAAACTCCGTTCAAACAAAGAATGACGATGAAACCAAGGCAAACTCCGTTGAAACAAAGATTGACGAAGAAACCCAGGCTAACTCCGTTGAAACAAAGAATGACGAAGAAACCCAGGCAAACTCCGTTGAAACAGATAATGACGAAGAAACCCAGGCAAACTCCGTTCAAACAAAGAATGACGAGGAAACCCAGACAAACTCCGTTGAAACAGAGAATGACGAAGATACCAAGTCAAACTCCATTGAAACAAAGAATGACGAAGAAACCAAGGCAAAGTCCGTTGAAACAAAGAATAACGAAGAAACCCAGGCAAACTCCGTTGAAACAAAGAATGACGAAGAAACCCAGGCTAAGTCCGTTAAAACAGAGAATGACGAAGAAACCCAGGCTAACTTCATTGAAACAAAGAATGACGAAGAAACCCAGGCAAACTCCGTTGAAACAGAGAATGACGAAGAAACCCAGGCAAACTCTATTGAAACAAAGAATGACGAAGAAACCCAGGCAAACTCCGTTGAAACAGAGAATGACGAAGAAACCCAGGCAAACTCCATTGAAACAAAGAATGACGAAGAAACCCAGGCAAACTTCATTTGGTATATTGTCAATCTACGCTGCAAGTGAACTTCACAGTTCAATCGACAAGGTATGCATACATTTCACTGATTAAGTGTTAGTTACCAAAATTTATTTTTTCTTTCTTTTTAGAAAAAAGGCTTAAGTGAAATGTTTGTAGTGTAGTGTTGTGTGTATGGTTTTGCTTTAAAAAGTGGTTGACAATCATGACCCATTTGATAATATTGTATAGTTGACACTTTTAGAGCCAAATATCAAAGTCATGTATGGCCTTGTAGTTTAATTTAGGAATATTTGTTACGTGCTTTCTTTTCATAATGGAGAATAAACAACATCTGTTTAAGGTACATTATGCTTCAGAAAGGAATAGATTATTGCTTCTTTAGAAATGGCAAACAGTTTCTTTAACTTCAAATTTTTTTTTTAAAAAGCATTATAAAACAGATTTTTATTTATTATCTGATGAAAGTAGCACTACTTGTGTGAAATTATTTGTTACCAAAAAGTAGCAAAATGTAATCACTGTAACTGTACAAATTACCAAAAAAAAAAAAAAAAAAATAAAAATAAAAAAAAAAATAAATAAATAAAATAAAAATAAAATTTTTAAAAGTTTAGGAAAAACAACAACAACAAAACAACAAAAACAAAACAACAGCAGCAGCAAAAAACAGCGCTTCCGAGGCATAATGGCCTTTAAGTATTAATTATAAATAAGTATTATTGTTTGTTTGTTCGTGATATGTTGTTTGTATGCCCGTGACGTGTTGTTTGTATGTTCGTGATGTGTTGTTTGTATGCTCGTGACGCGTTGTTTGTATGTTCGTGATATGCTGTTTGTATGCCCATGACGTGTTGTTTGTATGTTCGTGATATGTTGTTTGTATGCTCGTGACGCGTTGTTTGTATGTTCATGATATGTTGTTTGTATGCCCGTGACGTGTTGTTTGTATGTTCGTGATGTGTTGTTTGTATGCTTGTGACGCGTTGTTTGTATGTTCGTGATATGTTGTTTGTATGCCCGTGACGTGTTGTTTGTATGTTCGTGATATGTTGTTTGTATGCCCGTGACGTGTTGTTTTTATTTACTCGTGACGCACTGTTTGTATTCTGGTGACGCACTGTTTGTATGCCCGTGACGTGTTGTTTGTATATTCGTGATATGTTGTTTGTATGCTCGTGACGCGTTGTTTGTATGTTCGTGATAATTATGTTGTTTGTATGCCCGTGACGTGTTGTTTGTATGTTCGTGATTTGTTGTTGTATGCTCGTGACGCGTTGTTTGTATACTCGTGACGCACTGTTTGTATTCTCGTGACGCACTGTTTGTATGCCCGTGACGTGTTGTTTGTATGCTCGTGACACGTTGTTTGTATGCTCGTGACGCAGTGTTTGTATGCTCGTGACGCACTGTTTGTATGCTTGTGACGCACTGTTTGTATGCTCGTGACGCACTGTTTGCATGTTCGTGACGCACTGTTTGTATTCTCGTGAAACACTGTTTGTATTCTCGTGACACACTGTTTGTATTCTCATAACGCACTGTACCAGACAGAACAGAAGTTTTATGGAAAAGAATACGTTCACATAATTAAAATGACATTCGCTCTGCCCATACATGATTAAATTGAACACTCGATAAATGTTGTGGTGTTAATAACAGTGTTTTATCAAAAGTAATGAGTCAAACACACAATATTGCTTGTTGTGAACTCGCGGCTTACACCTGGTGACTTTGTTATTGTCACAAAATACGTGAGTGCTTATCTATTTAACTTTATAAGGTAGCTCGCTACTTTCCGACCTAAATTTGACAATATCTCAGATCTTGATGATTTTTGGTATACAGACATGTAGATATGTAAGCTTTACTTCTGCAGCATTATTTTATAAATAAACAGCGTTACTATGACGTCAAAGCGCCCTCTATCGGTGGCGGCGAAATTGCTTCTTTATCAATAAACCGGTCTGTTCTTATCAATTTTCATCCGATTTCCTTCATTTTAATTTTGTAATGTTCAGTAAATGTATGTCTTTGTAACGATGTCTTTCTTGAACATTTGCTTAATACTCTGCGATTCTACGTTATTTTCCCTTACGTTCTGACGTCCATATTTGATGCAAATATCGCGCGATATCGCAATAAAGATTGTGAAATAATAAAAAAAATCAACACGGTGAATTGTGCTATAATTTTTTTAACATGTAGTGAAGTCATAAAAGAAAATATTTATGCAATAAAAATATAGGGTCAACGCGTAAGATATTTTGCTATTACTATTTGATTATAAAATAAAGGGTGAGTAAAACGTAAAGATTTTGGTGACGTCAAATATTTTTCTCAAGGAAATTTTCACGACTTTTTCGATAAATTTCATACTGACAAGAATAAAAATGTGTGAAAACCATCAACAACAATAGTATTTAGACATGTTCCGTAAAAATGATTTTTTAAAAGTCCTGTCAGATGCCTGCATTTCGATGAATATCTTCAATTATATACATGTACAACAAATCAGGGTATAACTGTCTATCAATCTCTGAAAAACTGCAACGAATGGATATAAATACCTCGAGGACTGAAAGAATATTGAAAGATATAATTAAAAGGCCACCTAAGTTGAAATTATAAAAACATAAATTTTACAAAGAATGTCAGTAAAAAAGAATGAAAAGGCTGGTGCATTCGCAATGTCATCATGTTATGTGTATCTCGGTACAACATAAACTTCCATGTTATCATATGTAACAATTTTGAATTTATAAATCAGTTAGTAGGAAAAGAGACATAGATAACATCTATGTCTCTGGTAGGAAATGAATCAAATTTACGTTTCAAAAATATATGATCAACTGGAAGTAGCAACGATTTGTACGTAAGTCATGATTCAATAGTAGTCTTAATTATATTATAAAATCTAGCAGACATTTAATTCAAAATTTTCTACACGTATAACATTTTATTTATTAACAGCCATCAGTTATTGTATTTTCTCTCGCAGCTAAATATCCTGCACTAAGCGTGAGACTCAGATTTAAAGTAGGAATCACGCTCTCATGCTATGGCTTTAATTTATCACGTATTTCACATAATTACAGATATTCTTATTTATTTTAAACTAGCTGACTCGCGGTATGCGTTTACTAGCGCATGTTTGAGGCGACCTGAAGCCGTGATCATTTCTCGATTAGAGGCGAAAGATCCGTTGATTTATTTTGTATGTTCAGAAGCGGGGAATTTTGCATATTAAATACATATTCCCTTGTATTGAAGGCGATTATGTAGGATTCTCAATTTGTGTGATTATGGTTGTGGGAGAAGCTCGTTTTTTGTCTGCACATAATGCAGTGCTATGTAGAGCCTATGAAAATAATGAACTATGCATTTTATATTTTATATCTTCTTATTTTTTAATATTGGGTTTAACGTACTTCATACACAGTAAACCATTCTAAAGGATAATCTATTAGTACAATACGCAATAGTGTCTAGAATCAATGCCTTCCGAATTCAGCGTAAGACCACTTTACCGATTACAACGTGGCACCAGAAGAATATTAAAAGTTAAAAACCTGATTATGATCTCCCTTAATAAGGGAGAAGTCCATTTTATTGCTAACATCATAAACACGTGTTTTTGGTGTGTGTTTTGAGGTTATTTTTTTTCTTGTGTTTTTATTTTTTATTTTTGTTTTAAAGCAAACTATATTGTATTGAAAATGAACAAGATAACGTCAACATAATACATTATTCGTATACAGTGGTAACAAAAGTTGCACAAGTTATTTAATAATTATATTTTGTATTTAATTAAAATATACAGTATAACCTTTACAGAGAAATGCCCTTTGTTGCCTAGAATGGTTGCTATACAGAGGTAAAATGTAGTGGAACTCTTTAGAAATAAATAATACTTTGAGGGCCGCTATGTTATACTGTAATGAAAAAGCGGTAATGAATCCGAGTTGAGTAATGGTTATATTGGGTGTTGTACATTCGATTCTGCAGTTGCGAATATGCTTATATATTTTTTTATTCAGTATGATTTTGATTCCAAAATAGTTTATAGTTTGTCACACAAGTGCTCATTTTCTAATTATCATGACATTTTAATTAGATTATAATTAATTAATATATAATCTATGTATTGCACAGACTTAAAAATGGTAAGCAAAAATAAAAATAAAATAAAAGTTTTTGTTTCTTGTACAGTTTGTTTTTAAATATTCTTAAAGGGACTCCACTGAGGTTGAAAAGCCAAACACATAACATTTGAATTTCTTACATAAATGAGCTGGGGCACTTAAAACAGTAATATATGCGAAGATAGTTAAGAAATATACTTTGAAATAAATTGAAAAACGAATGTTTATGCTTTTGTTAGCCCGATTTGGGTGATTTGCGTTTAAACGCTTTTCATTTTGTATAATTATTCTGGAAAAAAGAAGTGCGCGAATGCTCTGAAATTTTGCACAAAGATTAATGGTCTAAACCTACATCAAATGGTACATTTATTTGGAAAAATATTTTCAGTTCCATCATGTCAAAAAACCCTTTAACATATTTGAATATTATTTCTGAAATTATTTATCACTTATATCGGCACATTTGTATGCATATCTATTTTAATTGTATTTTTACGATGTGTTTTGACACCGAGGCTCGTCTGCCTTTATGTGATTTTATGAAAGTGTTTAAAGGCTGAATGTATCGTAAAATTAATAAATCAGATCTTTTTCGCCAATAGAATAAGAGTCTTATTAATCATACGCTGTGACATGTGCATGTCGTTGGCCTAAGAAACATGAATTTGGTATGTTCGCGGCTCAAGAAATTAAATTGTTAAACAGTATATTATTAATTCTATGTCTTGTTAACTTCAAGTTAAAGCAATATTGTCTTTGTTGCTGTAGTAGTAGTTGTAGCATAAAACTTGGGAGGTCAATCATCTGTGTTGTAGATGGCCAAGGCTTCATACTGTTGTCCATCATTCCATGATGACAAAACAGATTTTCCTAATCTGTTGCAGAGTTAATATTGGACCTACTGTCCGCAAACTCTAGACTTTCCAATTTCTGTTGCAGAGTTATATTGGACCTCAAACAATTGTTATATCCAAAACATTGTCACTTTAAATCAAACTACAAACAAATCCGGTATTTAATCCATTTTACAAAGTTATTACGTAATTGTATTACTCCATTTAACAAGAATAATTGAATAAATCCTAATTCTAATAATAACACATAAACTCATAAATTAAGAGAAATTAACTGCGGCCACTCTGATAGGATACTTTTAGCGTTCTGATTGGTCATCTGATAAGATCATATGTTCATCTCATAACCCTAGGTGGTCCAGTGCAGTAGAATAAATATTCTACGGGTATAAGCTAAGCGACCTAAAATTCTTACTTCATTCATACAGCAAAATGTGAATCTTATTTTTTGCGCTGAAACTAGTTAATTCATATAATAATATAACACTTTAACAACATCACATTATAAAATTAGAATTAAAAGATGTATGAGACTGTGTCCTGCAAATTAGGAAAGTATTTAAAAAGGGATTGTCGGTTTAAACATTGTAAATGTGCTCATCTAGCGCATGCTTTCAATGAGAAAATAATCAACAATTTAAAAAATATATATTTTATCAAGGCCCTGAGTTGTTTATACTTACTATCGTAATGTTTGACGTAAGAAAATTGTTATTTGGTATTATTCTTTGAACTCCAACATCTATTAACGTCACCAAAATCATTACGTTTCACTCACACTTTATTTTATTTTAAAACAGTAATAGCAAAATATCTTACGCGATGACCCTATATTTTTATTGCATTAATATTTTCCTTCACTATCTCACTACACGCTCGGAAAATTATAGCAAAATTCACCGTGTTGAATTTCTTTTATCACACAATCTTTATTGCGATATCGCGCGATATTTGCATCAAATATGGACGTCAAAACGTTGAGAAAAATGACGTAAAATTGCAGACTATTAAGCAAATGTTAAAGAAAGACATCAGTACAAAGACATACATTTACTGAACATTATAAAATTAAAATGAATGAAATCGGATGAAAATTGATAAGAACAGACCGGTTTATTGATAAAAAGACGCAATTTCGCCGCCACCGATAGAGGGCGCTTTGACGTCATAGTAACGCTGTTTATTTATAAAATAATACTGCAGAAGTAAAGCTCTTATAATTATATGTTTGCATACCAAAAATCATCAAGATCTGAGATGTTGTCATATTTCGGTCGGAAAGTAGCGAGCTACCTTAAATTCTTACAGTTGATATTTGAACCATTGGTTAATATTTGTGCAAAAGAATCAATATTATTATCACCAACATACGACTGTTGAGTTTATTAAGTTATTGAGTGTTAACTATTGAAGATATTTGTTCGAAACTTCAATGGTGCAAACATCAAAAGAAATATCGCATATGAAATGAATTCACATTCAGGGGAATATTGTCCATCAATTAAATCATGCTTATTTTGCAAAGGCAATAACTCACTGAAGTGTTTTAGATACCAACTTACTATTTTATAGTTTGTTATATTTTATAGAAAAGGAGTTCAGAGCAAAATAGCACTTCTTATAATTCAAGTAGTTCCTATATTTTTATCTTTAACAATTTTTCCATGATAAATTATTGGTCAGTCACCATTGTAAAAGTCAATCTTTTGAAATATATTACTAATTCAGCTAAACTGGACAGCGAGAAAAAGAGCATAATGCCACTTTAAGGATTTTAGACTCTAATGGGCATGCTTGAGTATAGATTAATGGTGGTTATTTCTATTATCTACATCCATAAACACACTTGTTTGTGAAGTTTCAGAAAAGTTAACCGTCATTTAAGAATTTTACAAACATTTTTAAGTTTATACCCCCATCAGCAAATTGGCTAAGAATGTCCGAGCACCATGTTTCAGTAAAACCAGTCTATTTTTTTTTAAATCAATAAAATAAAACAATATTGATATCAGTGTGTTTGTTTTATACTGTGGTATACAAAAATATCAAAAAATAACATTTACCAAATGTATAAATTTTTTGACAAAATTTGTTTACATGTTCGGCCTTGATAATTGATAATAAGGTCTCGTTATCCTCGGCTTACATTAACAACACTCATAGAACTGCACGTTTGTAACGTCGCATTTCATTGGATAATAGTGACTCGGGCTACATTTCCAAACAACCGTTTAAACAGAACATTATAACCTGTTAAAATTCTTTGAAACTAATACTATTTAGGTCAAAAACTCTTATTCCATGATGTAGATATCAGAAGATCAAAGTGTGTATGCATATGGAACCAAATTCTTCAGCAGAATCGTGGCATATAAGATAGTATAACTAAAATAACATCAATTCGAATATAAATGTGTATAAACATTTACAAATATAGGCTAAGCATGCATTTATATACAGATATTCATTTTGACTTAGTAAAATTAGTACAATAAAGGAATCTTCATAATAGAAGAACAATGACCTCAAAATGAAACATGATGTACTGACAATATGTTTGCCTATTGCAATTCAATGTATAACAATGAACATTTTCACAACCATGTTCTATACAGTCATGTGTTTCATAAGTAAGAAAGGGGCCGCCGACAGTTTGCAGTTACATCCACGGGGTATAACTGTTAGCCACTATTAACGTTCAGAGACGTAGGCCATTCTAAAGCAACAATTCACCCGGTGACTTTAAACGTTTATAATTTATTTAAGTTTACAGTTTTCACATCCTCAGATGTTCTGTACAGAACATAAAGATTGTTAGATGTGCCCCTCAGATATGCTGCATTAATTCCAAATCCACTCTTGGTAACGAGTAACGTGTCACACGTGGACAGTATAAGTTGTTCTATGACAGCAAATTTCAAACCTTCACATGCCTGCGTTTTAAATCTTTGCAGGGGTCCTAAGCGATCAATATGGACAACAGAGACGTTTGTTTTTATGCTATTTTGAAACTTTTTGTAAAATTCCTTTCTAATGGAATCCGAATCCGACGCTAAATAGAGAACATATTTATTTGGGTCAGCGAATCTTTTCAAAAATTCGAAAACAACAGATTTGTTGGGCTGTCTTGTGAAAATATCATCATTAGGTATAGTTGGATTTCCACCCGTGCGGATATGGCTACACACAAGTGTTTTTCCCAAAACATGATCTATATCAAAACGGTGCATATAATTTAAGATATACTGTTTGGGTTTGAAAAGTGTATGTAATATTAACGAGAATATAGTTTGCATCGGTTTGGTCAGAAGCCATTTGTGTTGGTCTTTAAAGTCTCTTCGTCTTTGCAAACGTGTGATCAGGTTTGTATTAATTTTCATAAATATCACCTGCCATGACCATTCTAATTCAAAATTAAAATGTTGAATGCCGTCAAAGAATGGAGACCCATCAACGAAATCAAACAATTTTGATTTGTTTTTATCGAAGGTATTAACAAAGTTTCGACAAATAGACCAATTGTACAAATGTGGAATTAAAGCATTTTCGATGCTACAAGGTTTATCAAAATTGATAACAAATACTCTTGAAGTAACAATTGCCAATAAAAATGCAGAAACCATTCCCCTTTGCCTATCTCCTAAACCTCCGCAAAATCTCGAGCTGTCACACGAATAGACAATAAATCTGTGATAACGACAGTCGCTTTCCTTTTCGACACTGATATTAGTGAGTTTTATTGTCCTCAAGATGTCGGAATAAGCTAAACTTGTTGTCCCCACTTTGCTACTTTGACCAAGGTAAGGCACGCTTGAGTTGTTTTGACAACGGTTGAATGCTGATGCCTTCTTGTTGAGTGTGGTATTTCTGTAGGCTAGAACTGATTCCGTGCATCTCAGTAGAGAGTCAGATGATCCTATAACCATGACAACAAAGTTTTGCAGGAGCACTGGTAATTTGTTTCGAGTCATCAGATGCCATGCAGCCAGCCCTGTCGACAATGTTGCAACCTAAAATGCATTTAAATAATAATAGAGCTTTGTGCAACATAGCATGATTTGCATTATGTTCTTTCTTTATTAGGAGATTGCATATACAATATTCGGTGTTCACGAAGTATTGTCCATATCAGTTTTTTTATAAACAAAATTATTTACATTCTAATTTTATTTCTCAATGGTTTACTGTAACACTCAACTATTATTATCTGACATATACTAGCATTAAAGCAGCATGCCTCCAGATTCATGCTAATTTTTATGAAAATTTTGAAAAAAAAATGCGTATAATGTTATTGTAAAAGTAAAATATATGTATTGTGAAGTGAACAAAGAAAGGAACATACTTAATGCAATTAGTGGCTATATTATAAAATACAAAAAAGAGGTCAAAATATGCACAATTGGCCATTAAGTACTGCGTTAGTCACGCATTAGATATACAGTGGTAAATACAACAAAATCAGTCATTAATTGCACATTACATGTAAAATTTTACTTGATTCTTGAATATTTTTACCTTTATTTCAATCTCAGTGCATTTTTTCTCAAGTTAAATTTTCATGAATTATTTTGGTTCATCTGGATGCATGCAGCTTTAATGCGTCGCAATGAGTTGATCCTTTCTACCAAGATATGGAAAAACAACAATATTCAGCTAGCTTGAGAATGGTATCAATTTCATGATATGTACACGAATAACACATTAGCAACATCGAGTGTCATTGGACAACCGCGAGCACATATCACATCATTAATTTTTATCGACCACTTAAATAACTTAATTATATACTTCATGCACAATAGTCATGGTTGTGCTTTTCACGTTAAGTATTCTATTAATTGATTATCACTTAATCTGGTAACATTACTCAGTGACACTTGATTAAAGGAACTACACAGTGCCTAAAAGCCTAAAAAACATAAAGTTTTAAATTCTTACATATATCAAATGGGGAAACAGAATAAATATGTAAAAGATAATTAAGAAAATCTAATATACTCAGATTCGGGTTACAATGCTTTTCGATTTAATTTATTTTTTCACAATTAGAATAATTATTCTGGAAAAGGGAGTGAGCGAATGATCTGAAATTTGGCACACTAGTTATTTGTATAGACCTACATCAAATGTCAAAAAAGTTCGAAAAATTATTTCCAGTCCCGTCATGGCGAAAACCCTCATTTGATTCTCTTTAATTTAACACTCAAAATGGACATTTTCATTGCACATAATTACTCATTTTGAAAACATAGTAAACATAACACTATGCTATACCAATATGGACGTTTCTGACTAAACAATATTCAATAACTTCATAGATATTATTCACTGAGCACATTATTCACTTAATGTTAGGAGATCACTTTTACAACACAACTCACGTAATATTACTTTGTATTTTAACTCATTAAGTATAAGTGTTTGCGAACACTCAACACCGAACACTGCTCACTTTAAAAAATAATTTTCTGAGCATAGCTGGATGCGAATGTATAACATGGAACACGCGCCCTTTTTCAAAAACTTAATTAATTCACTAAGCACAACTGTTTTCATTCATCTAACAGTGAGCACTGCTATAATTCTCTGAGCATGCCTCTATTTGCGAGCATATAACATAGATCACTGCTCACTTTGAAGACATTATTCACTAAGCACTACTCACATAATGAGCAGTGCTCGACGATAATATTTTTTTTTATAAAAGATTTTAATATTTTTTACTGACATTATTTTTTTTTTTACCACCAATACCGTTAAAGGCATATTTAACCCCTGACTTATCTATTATTTTTATCTTTTTTAATTGTTTATTCTATTTTTTAATATATATCTTGTAACAGTTTCCCAATTACTAATTGAACATAGGTGAAATATCTTTTTTTTTACTTTTCTTTTTTTTTGACAAATGGTTCAGTAGAAATGTTGGTATTTTGTATGGAAGTTAAAGTACATCTTTTTTTTTACATTTTTCTACCTTCACGACACTTGACTGTAAGTACAGTGCTCCTTTCACCAGTTGTTTAACATCATCTCTACTCTAATTCATTTTTTAGAACATTAATGAACACAGGTTTGTCTTTTCTTAAAAAAAATCGAGGCATATTGTGCCTTTAAAATTGAGTAATTTAAGTGAGGTCACATAAGTCAATTTGCAAATTTTGTCAAACTTATGAACACATTTCTTTTTTGTTAGATGATGATACAATGTATAAATGGTGTATTCATCAAAAAATCTACGACAAGAGTACAGCCCGCTCCTCGGCTATACAATTTTTTTGTCACCGACACTAAGCTTTTCTGCGGCGTCTTTTCTGCTTTGCGTTCTGGATCAGTTTGATTATTTACGCTGAAAATATTAAGGCGCTACATGACACTTAATCGAGCACCATATCTTACCAATTAATACCCAAATTAGATTTAAAATATCATTTATACCAATTATATAGCATAGTAATGTAATTAAACGTCATCATATATTAGCTATTTCATGATACCAGATACCACAATAATGAAATGATTTTGCAGACGACATTTTAAATAAAAACATTATATAGTGAGACGTTCCATCTTTAACCCTAACTTGCCGATCTCCAAAATGGACTCGCCCTGCTTCAATAATGGAGTTGTCCATTATCACTTTTTGACGATATTAAGATGAAATTTTGAAATTATAGAACTTGGTTGTGCAGGGTGACCTGACTACACTAGTGGCAAAAGCTTGCAAAGGAGCTTGAAAATCTTAGCCATGCTTGGAAAAAAAGTCACTTCACTAGAATTTTTTAACAAGACATACATAATTTATTTTGACTTTTTCCAGCAAAGAAATTCACAATCACATAATGACATTGTTATACGAAAAACACCGCACAAACTATGGTAAAACGTCTTTTTGTTATACAATGGTGCAACGATTTGAAATAGAATACCATGTTATATCCGTTTTTCTAATTATCTGACATCTTTTAAAACATATCTTGCAGATAAGATAATATCTTCAAAACTCTGCCATTATGTTAAAATACTTATTCTGCATGTTTATTTGTTAATTATGTGTAAACGAAAATTGTATATATGTTATTTTAATATAGAAAAAGAGCGTTTGTCAAAACAATCAAATTATGTTTGTTATAGGACCACATCTTAATTGACAAATGGAATAGTTGTTATTGTTGGATGTTGTTGTTTTGTTTGTGCATTTTCATATATTGTTGAGAAGGCCACATTTAAAATTAAGGCATGCTATTTGTTTTTTAATTTGTTTTATGAGGTTGTATCTCCATGTGTTACCATCTTTAGATAAATATATTACATATGTTGTATTATTATTATAATTGATATTGTTTTTATTATTTCAATTATTATTATTATTATTATTATCATCATTATTATTATCATTTAAATGTTATTATTGTTATTATAATTATAATTATTATTATTGTTATTATTTTTTATTATAACTATAAAAATTATATTATTATTATTATTATTATTTGCATCAAGACTCACTCTTAACCCACATTTGTTCCTGTTACACGAAAGAGTGTAAAGAAAAGGATTTCTTCCAAAAAATACAATCGTTTTAAAATTTAATATTTAATTAGTAAAATACAGAAATAACCATGTAAAGATATATTTGTTTATGAAATGCCATCACAACGAGCATTACGAAATTCTTTCTTGCCTTAAAGAAAAAAAAGAAAAAAAAACGAATAAAAAACCTCATATATAAAGGCCAGTTTGCGAGAAATGAGAATATTATGTTATCATTCACAACACACACGCCCTAGCAAATAAAATTATCTGATAAATTATATGCACAGTGCAACTAATGTTACTAGTTAGATGAATGGTGCCAAAATTGCCGGTTAACTTGAAAAAAAAAAACCCAAAAAAACCCAAAAAAAAACATCGAGCATGTCAAGTGCCTAACGCATGATAGTTGGCCAAAATGTAATTATAAAAAAACAATGCAAATTTATAATTAATTAAGTACATGTACAAATAAATAAAATAAGAAATAAATTCTTACCTGCTCTGGCACAATTCAAACACATGAAATAATTTGTTTCACATAAAAAGTTTAAAAAGTAACATACCAAAATTAAAGTCCAAAACTGTTTTTTATTAACCATTATCCAGCTTGAAATATGAAGAAGTGTCGACTACATATAACATAAGTAGAAGAGGACAGGTTATTACTGAGAGGAATTGCGAACTTTCATGTTTAAATGTTGAATGCAGACTACGGGAGAGGAACTGTTACACGATAGCGTGTAAAGTACAGTAAAGTAAAATACTAAGCGTTGCGTTTTATGAACAATTTATTTAGTAATTAAAACTGTCTATTTCTTAAACTCACTCCAGACATTATTCAGTTATTTCCTACATCTGCATTTCTTTTGTACCATACTTCAATTATGATACTAATAATAGATTGAAATTTACAGTGATTGATTATTTGTTGTGATATATTCTTAATAAGATATCCGAATTACTACAACATTTCAAGTATTAAATGTAAATATCAAATTAATAACAATGTAAGCCAACTTATACATGAACATCAAATACCACCCAAGTGCAAGAAACATATCATGCTTAGATAGACAATTCAAATGTCAAAATGTACTTTCTTCAGTTCCAACAAAAACAACACATATACTATATATGCATCAACATGTTTAACAACTCTTAATATATGTGATGTTACATGTATGTATATATAGAAGTTAAATATAATTGTAGCAAATATGATTATAAATATCAACTAACTGATTAAAATAATTTATTAAGTAACATAAAAGCGTGGTCTCTTAGTTGAATATGTTACAAAAGAGTTCTTCTGATGACTTGTCAGAATCTCCGATAATTTGTCAGGATCTTCTGATAGCTTGTCAGGACCTTCTTTAACTTGTCAGGATCTTCTGATAACTTGTCAGGACCTTCTTTAACTTGTCAGGATCTTCTGATAACTTGTCAGGATCTCCGATAACTTGTCAGGATCTTCTTTAACTTGTCAGGATCTTCTTTAACTTGTCAGGATCTTCTTTAACTTGTCAGGATCTTCTGATAGCTTGTCAGGACCTTCTTTAACTTGTCAGGATCTTCTGATAGCTTGTCAGGATCTTCTTTAACTTGTCAGGATCTTCTTTAACTTGTCAGGATCTTCTTTAACTTGTCAGGATCTTCTGATAGCTTGTCAGGACCTTCTTTAACTTGTCAGGATCTTCTGATAGCTTGTCAGGATCTTCTTTAACTTGTCAGGACCTTCTTTAACTTGTCAGGATCTTCTGATAACTTGTCAGGAGTTCTGACAAGTGTCACGGAGTTCGTAGGAAAACTTTTGTATATACCGAAGAAACACTCCTCAAAAATGGTAATTTTTCATCGTTAAAAAGTTTGGGGTGCTAAATTAAACTTGATAATTAAGCTTGCCTTACATATTATATAATGTTTTAGGAAAAATCTTTATTATCTACCTAATTGTTTTTTATCAATATTTAGAAACTGTATGGAAAATGTGCTTATTGAAGAGACCACTTTACTTTAAGACTTAGACTATTACTATATTATATTCTGTCTCCCTTGATTTTCTGCAATGTTGCTTTTTTCCTACGGGAGAATGGCCAATGAGATTCACGATTTCAGTTTGTAATTTTGAAATGGCAAATGAAAATCCTACTTATATTTCGTTCTACCCTGTTGTCTGCTTTATAAAATGATGCATCCGCCTATTTTAAGAATACTGTGTGATACAAAGAAATTCACGTGATCTAAAGTTTGCATATCTATTTGTTTATTGTGCACCCTTAAGTTGGTAACAAATATTTCATTGTGCCATTTTCATTGCAGTCAAGAAACATTTAAACTCTTTTCTTTATTTTCAACATAAAGAGGTTATTCAATATTTTTTTTTACAAATTCAGGATTTTTTTTCCGAGTGATATGAATATAAATATTTCACGCGTGGCATGTAATTTTTCATTTTAAAAGAAAATAAATAAATCCTTTATTACAGTAATAGAGAAAAGAAAACACTTGAATTTTCTGTTTATTATATACTTTTTCTCTTTTTACCTTACATTTCTTAAAACTTCTACTTTAATTTTGTGTAATGGCAAAACGGAAAATGTTTCACTGTAGTGAAAAATAAAATTTTACAGTGGAAATACAGAAAATAATAATACGAATTTTATTTCATCAATGTTTCTCAATATTTCATTTATAAGTATATATAATAAAATGTAATATTTGTTTACGTCATTAACAAGCACATTCAGCTATCGATGTATTGAAATTACGTTTATTTATGTATTGAAATCATGTTAATCTATTTGTTTCATATAAAGAATATCAAAATGTACAAAGATACATATATTTTTCAAGAATAAAATTCATCATTATCAACACCATCGGGTAAAGAGGGATTCCTATCATTAACACTCTATATAAAATAAAAATCACATTTTCCGACAATCACTCTTTATCTACATATAATTGAGCCTTGACATGATATTTCCAATACGTATAGTGGTAAAATAACGTAATCGTAGAAACGTTACGTCAAAGTTGTGGCCAAATTTTTTAATTATTTGACACGCGCTTTTTCCAATCCGAACTGTGCAGGTTTTAAACAGTGCGCACATCAGTTGTATGTATTCGTTACTGCACTTATATAATAAACTTTTCCACCACAAGAATGATGGTTTTCTGCAGTTTAAAGATATTGGTAGAAGTGACTCATTTTTACTGCACAAACTGCGCTAATAAACCTATGGAACAGAATTAATGCATTTATTCTATCTTGCTTGATGACATTGGAACTTGCATTATGCTTGATTCCATCTTGCTTTATGATATTTAAACTTTGTATTATCATGATTATGCTGGATTCCATTTTGCATTATTTCATTCAAACTTGTGTAGCGACTAATTCTTTCAGTGAATGATAACTATTAAAGCTATCATACTGTTTTGAAATATTAAAATGTTAACGTCATACGATATATCTTTATGCATAAGCTACCTTTCTTCATGCTCTTTACAACCTATTTACGATTTAGTTCTATTTTGTATTACTTTATGTAAAAGTCATTCAAAATCGACTATTCTTTTATTCCCTACTTCCTTTTGTAAACCTAAATATATACGATGGTTTTTGTTTAAGTGTTCCCTATATGATTTATTGCTCACATGTCGTGATTACAGTTATTTTTAGCTTATTTCCATTATTCAGTGTTAAGTAATAGTTATAGTACATGAAACGAGTTAGTTACGAGGATATAACACTGGCTGGGGCGACATCAAGGGGTGTTTCTGCTAAAAAAAAATTTTGCAGAAACATCCCGAGATGTCGCCCCAGCCAGTGTTATACTCCCGTAACTAACGAGTTTCATATACTATAACTGTTTTATCGCAATGGCATAATGTTTTCTTTTTTAGTAAAATAAATAAATAAATCATGATAAGGCAGTTTTTTCAAGCTGTTTTCGCTACCACAAAAAAAGATATACAAGAGACACCCAATGTTAGAGGCGAATTGTAAACTGTTACCAATATTGATCCATTTTAATTAAGGGCTTTTTTCAGTGGAAATAATTCATTCAGCGGATGTACCTTTTTGATTAAATAAAATAAATTCCATTTCATTAATTATCTTTGTTTATATTTTTCATTGTATTTATTTACTTATTTTATTTAGCTTCATTTTATTGATTCCATTTTTTCTTTGCTATTGGAGCCTCTGTGAAAAAAACTGCATTGATATATAACAGGTGCGAAAAAACTCAACCGATATATAACAGTCGAGTTTTTTCCTATATGAATCAATGAAAAAACTGTACTGTTATATATCAATACAGTTTTTAAATGCTCATTGAAGTGTACTGAGTATAATGGGCTAGTAAGAACAAAGGAAAAGTTCGAAACCATGCGATAATGCTAAATAAAGCTCGGTCGTATGTACTGTTAAGGGGCGAGAACTCTGTTTTCGAGATCAACGGAATTTTTCCATATTTCGCCCATCATCGTTTTTTCCGTACATCAACTGCGGTGACCATACAACGGTATTCTTTTGCGTATATATAAATACGTATCAAGCACTGAAAATATAAATTGCTCAGGAAAGACTATAGAAAGTAGAAAAAGATTATGCAAGATATTTGTATATATGTTTACAGTCTAATAGAAAAAATATATTCGTGAAGTTATTTAATGGGGCCCCGGGCTTGAAGGGGTGCACCCACCCGCTCAGCCAAAGATACTTATGAGCGGGGTGGAATATTACGTGACAGTTTCATCAAAGTGCAAGTGTATTCAAAACAAGTCTTTTTAATCCCATAACCAGTTTTTAACCCCTGCTGAATGCTGCTTGAAAAAGGCAAATTTTTTTGGCGTATAACCCCAAAATTCCAGAGTCACTAAAATAGGGGCGAATAGGTGGGTTACACAGTCAATGTTAATAAAGAAAAATTTTTAAATTTAAATAAGAATGAACGAAAGATAAAAAAGGAAGGGAAAGGGGAAGGGAAGAATTGGACATCGAAAAAAATTTTTAAAATAGGTCTTTAATGTGTATATTATAGTACAACGGCCCGATGGCCCTACAAGTCACCAATTTATTTTGTCACAAACACCCCTCAAACACCACCACATTCACATACATTTATGCTTAAAGATATACTATGCGCATCTTTCAATAATATATTATTTTTTATTACAGAAATTTATTGAAATCTATAAAATTCTTTCTGAATATGTCTTATTTGAATAAAGTCACATACAAATAATTCATGTGAATCTGTGTAACTTATAAAAAAATGCCATATTCTTTTAAGTAACATTATGCCCATCTAATGATATGTATAAATGAGTAAACAGGTGAAAGTCAAAATAAGTTTCCATTTTGCCATAATTCCAATAAACATGTTTACGCATGGATACAAAATACGTTGTTCTTAAAAATGATGCAATTAAAGATGTAGTATATTAAAATATGTTAGTTGGATGGTTCAGAAAGGAACACATGAAGTTGCAATTACATTCAGTACCGATAATGTATGATTGTATTCAGCAAAACGTAGGTTAACATTGTCATAAAGATGTATGGAAGCAAGCATAACGTAAATCACATTATCATCAAGCAAGATGGAATAAATACACTAACGCTGTCCTATATAAACCACTCGCTGAATCGTGATTCTTAAGTACCAAAAAAAAAATAATCAAGGAAATTATGAGTTTAGAAATCTAAT